GTGAAGGTCTAAACACCATATGTAGGCAAGACACAACTGCCTCTACACGCTGTCCTCCTGAAAAGAAAGGGATACGAGAATACCTGCAATAGTACATGACGATATGTGGCCTATCCTCCAATTAGGTTGTATACTCCGGTACTACGGATAAACTAAGTTGATCAACATGTTGCACCAAGCAATTTCCATTCCAGTTATGGACCGGGATTAAGGATCAAGAAACCTGGAAGACGCAAGGACTCATTGAAGATAGGGGCGCCAGCTCAACCCACCGCTTCAGCTGTGATATGCCTAATTCGGAAAGTTTCCAGAACATTTAGCGAACATCTTAATTAAACTTTACTACCCCAGGATGAATAGCCACCTGTTCCATTCATGACAGCAGGCCGACAAAACACCAAGTACTCTAGTCAGTAGGAAGAAAAGCAACAAGAATTAGTGTTTTAGAGCGATAACCCCCCGAGCGGAGTCAATGGGGAATCTGTGTAGATGCAGTAACGTCGTACACTCCATGTGTTACGAAAAGATGGACCAACCATTTCTCGATATCAATATCAAAGACGATGGCGCCGCCCAGAACTGCCCTTCTTCAATAATAGACGCTCCCGAGAGCATATGCAGATGAGTGACACTTACATTGCCCAGATAATAGCTCAGGGATACCAAAAATAGATCATATGATGAACTGTGAAACAATCAGCTGCCCGTCTTTTATTGTTTTACTGGTTCGTGAAACAATGCCACACACGCTCACGACATTCACGCAAGGGTTTATGTTGGACATGTCTTTCCAATCATGCCGTCATCCCAGCTTTTTGATATATCCCATCTATGACAACTCCTATAAAATGCATTTCCTTTTACAGGACGTATCAGCCCCGTCGTGTTTCGTTTTCCATAGTCTAGTTCAAAGCAATCATAACCTTCTTTCAAAACGTCTTTTCTTTTGCGTGTGAAAGCATTTAGTCGTCGGCGAAAGCCTCAGCTCGGGCGTCGACGCTCTTCTGCGACTCATCCTTGGAGGGTCGGTTGGCAATGAGGCGCTGACTGGTCAGTACCACAAACTTTGTCATATGGTGGAGGGCACTTACAACCAAGTTTCTCAAGAGGATAGCAATTGTAACCTTGCCGACGGACGGCACGTAGATGGAGGCCTTCTCCTTGATGGCGGGACCATCAAAGTTTCTGTACGAGGAGAAGTTGATGCAGACAGCACCATCGCGGATGAGCTCGGTGGGCACCTTGAAAGACTCGACGGGGACTCCTCCGATGACAACGTCACTGAGTGGAAGGCAGTCCTCGAGCTTCCAACCCTCCTTGTCCTCGACCTGGTGGCGGGCCTTCTTGATGCCCTCTCCTCGGGTGAAGATCTGGACACCAGTGACGTCGACGGAGTAGACGGTGGCGCCATCGTTGGCGAGGAGGGCAGCAAGAGGTCGGCCGTTGACCTCGGATCTGTTGATGACAGTGATGGTCTTTCCGAAAAGTCGGTTCCCAGATGCCAGGATGGGGTTGTAGATCTGCAAGTACTCAAGGATCTTGACAACAGCGAGAGGGGTGCAAGGAAGGATGGACTTCTTGCGGTTCTCAGGAGGGTCAATGAAGCGAATGTTGTGGTACATGTTGTGGATGTGCTTGTGTCGAAGACCCTCAACGTCCTTTCCAAGGTCAACCGACTCCTGGATGTACTTGTCGTGAGAAGGGTTGTTGGGGAAGATGGGGTAGTAGACAATCATGCCGTCGACATCGTCGTCTTCATTGGCCTTCATGATCTCCTCCTCGAGAAGCTCCTTGTCCACAGTTCGGAGGTCAAAGTTGAATCCGCTATGTTTTGCATTAGCGCCAGGTCGAGGGGCAAGCATCACCCGATAGACTGGGCGATATTCAAGCCACGCAGAGGAATATCTCACTTCTCTTCACAAGTCTTCTTGGACCACTCAGCGTACTTTACGGCAGCGGGATCACCGTTGGCGAGGAAAGCAGCCAGTGTGGGAGTGCAAGGGTTCTCGCCTTGGATCTTGGCCAGTGTGTCCTTGACCTCACCAAGGTAACCCTTGGCGATAGTCTCAGCAGTGATGACCTTGCAGGTCTTGGGGACAGTTGAGGTAGCCATTGCAAAAGTTCTCAGACTGCGGAAGCAGGTTGTTATCTGAGATCTCATAGTCAGTCACTTGTATTGCTTCTCAATCTTGTTTCTTCTCTCCTGTTCTCTTGTCATACGAAGTCTTTCCAAGGTGAACAAACACACCGAAAAGATCCCCACTAATCTGGCTATGAGCCGTACTACCAGCATCGTTTGGGGTGAGGGGGGGAAGAAGCATGATGCCGTCACAGGAGCCTTTGGCAAGTGATGGAGTGCCCGAGACATTCCAGAAAGGTCACATACCTTAAGGAAAATGGGTTTATTCAACTTTGACCAGAAGCTGGGAGTTTGAGGAGAAAGAAGAACAAATTAATCACAAGCAATTGTCCCCCCACCAAAGAAAACAAAACTCCGAGTGACTATGGAGGGGCATCTTGGAGGAAAAATGTTTGCGCAAAAAAATTCGGGCCCTTCTGTCATCCAGTCAGAGTCGAGCATTTATAGAGCCCCTCTTACTGCATAAGGCTTAGCGGAATAGTGTTCCAGAAGTGAGAATTACAGAGGAATGGTCTAGAGATTCAAGATTTTCGAGGATATCTTGGTACTCGGAGAATCAAAACTGATCAAAAGACTACTGAGCCTCAGTTGGACACAGAGTAAAGCGTGGTGTATTGACATCTATTGGAGCTATGCCGCGGAAACTAAGTAATCGTTCATATTCGAGATGAAGATTCTAGCTTCTGCTTCTGCCGATTTCGGCGCTTGTTAAACGCTCAAGTTCCACTTACAACCTCGACGTCGTTTTACAATAGTAACCAATTATCGCTGTGCCAATGTTGACAGCCTAAGATTTCACTTCTTCCAGAAAAAAGAAGAGCAAGAATTGCAGCAGAAACCCGATGAGATATGTGTTGGCTTTTGGACGTCCAAGCGGACGGTACAGAAGGTTCCAAGGCTCAGATCCCTGAACTCAATGTCGCTTTCCAGCGCTTTCAGTGGTCGCACAGAGACACCCAGTGGCGGTATGGCTTTCGATAGTCGCTGTTACTCGGGATTTGGGGAAATTCGAGGTCTTTTTGTACTGCGCTGAGCATTCCACAGAGAATTTTAGAGAAGCTGGTCAACGGGCGCAGAAGCAAGTGCTTATTTATGTGCTTTCTCAAGGTTCTTGCGATTTATTAATCACCACTTATTATATCCTGTTATCAGGGATGGGGCCATGGAACTGCCTATCTACAGTATGGAAATTCAGGGAGATTGAAAAGTCTTCTGAGCCATACAAAAGCCTTCAAAAGGTCATTTCTCGTGAACAGTCCCTGGTGTTGTACTGCCCAGTACCGACGATCCGGAGCCCCCCCCC